CGCTAAAAAAATTGTTAAGTAGTTAAATATCGTTATTGTAAATTTCAAATTGGCATTAACAGATGTTAGAAGAATATTTAATTATATATTTTTAAACTCACTAATGACTTCTTTATCCGGTGTATTAATCGATTACATTTCTTGTTTGACTTATTACAATTTGCGCTATTTATTTAGATTTCTTAAATTATTGTATTCAGCCAAATCAACAATGTTAAGTTTTTAATAATTTGGTTTTGTTTTTCAATTTCTGAAGTTTATATGAATATTAATACATATTTACTTATATTATGTTTCCTAATATGAAGCAATATTTTAAAATGGTATGTAAAAGGGAAATATGTGCCTGTATGAAGAATATACTTGTGGAAATAATGAGGCAATACTTATAAAAAAATCTAAAGTTAAATAATATGATGTTTAATTAAATCCATCAAACTCGGAAACAATAGAATATTTATACTTTTCATTTTGATAAATGAAGAAAATTACTATAACAAAAGAAACCTCTTTTTTTTAAGTTACTTCTGAAACCTATTTACGAGAAACATTCTATCTCATAGTTTTAAGGTAAAACCTAATTTTCATATACTCTAATTCAATCTAAAATTTTTTAAGAAATGAAATTGAATTACATTTAGGTTGCTGTCAATCAGAAAATTTTTTGGCATGAATTATTTTAAAATACCAAGAAAAGAAGAAAATCATAAATATATTACATAACTTTAGAATTAAATTTCAAGTACTAGCCGCAATTTTTTTTCTTCTTTATATTTTCTTATATTTCATTATAGGAATACTTAAATATCTGTTCAGTACGTTACTTTATTACCAAAATAATTTTCATCAGGAAGACAAGGGAATTTAGTATACAGATTGAACTTAAAAGTTGATCTTTTTCATGTTATAAAAGCAATTTTTTTTTTTGTTTTTGACAAACAGGCAGTTGAATATGTTTTTTCTAATGTCTACTTTTGAACATACTAAATAACCTTGACTTGCCCTTTTTTTAAAGTGATTTATTCAAAGCTGTAAGTAAATAAATGACAAACCACTCTCTTTCAATCTTTAAAAAGAGGGAATAAACCCTTCTAGACCTTGAAAAAGACAATTTTATTCTATAGAAGAATTTATATTTGAGGAAATAAATCAACCATTGGTTACTGAAAAGAAACTTATGGTGAAGCATATGAGATTTTTACTTAAAAACATTTCCTGTCCAGCAATTTATGTTTTGGAAAGAAACTACAGCGGCTCAGTAGAAACCATACATTAATAATGTTTCTTATGATCGATTTGTTGGTATTCGTTTCAGTGGTTCAGTGTTTGAAATATGTGGTGCAAATAATCAATTAAAAATAGATCAAACTTTTTAATCAAATCTAGGATGTAACAAACAAGAGCACATATTTACACTAAGAATAAAATACTATCAATAAAACTATACTATCAATAAAACATCTTTGCAATTTAAAACTTAAATCAATTAGTAAAAGCAACAGTTTTTTCTATACCGTATCAAAAACTCATATCAATTCGAATTCAGACAGTCAACTGCCGAATTCTCCCATCGAGATTCATTATGAAATAGATGCCAATTTTTGCAACAAAACTTATAATACCAAACGGTTAAATATCAGTAAATAAAATATACAGTATGAAAAATTAGAGTTTCGTAAATTATTAAATCAAGACAGACGATAATAGCATGAAAACGAGAATAATTCCCAGCGTTGATAGTTATATTAAAAATAATTTCAAAGAACATATTTCATATTTACATAGTACATATTTAGATTTATACTCAAATCTAAATTAACTTCGTAGATTCTTTATGATATATAGCAATCTCCTAAGGTCTAGGTGGTGGTAAAGAGCCATAGTAGGCTGATAAATAGGGGGAGTTATCACTGTTTAAATTTCTTTTCCTATATTTATAGGTTAGATAAAGATAGAACTTATTAAAGAGAGATTTCACTTTATTTTTTAAAAATAAAATATCATTGAGTTTATTTTAATATAAATCGTCTGCATATTTTTTGACTAAATACAACTTAAAATCTCTCCAACATTCAACTAGTTTGATCAATAATATCCGTAGAAAAAAATAATGAATGATTGAAAATTAAAAATAAACGTATTTGTATGAAAAAAAACTAAATATTTTATTCGACAAGGTAATCGATAATTTTGGTGGCTTAAATATCATTTTTATAGTTAAATAACCTAAAATAATTTATTCGAAATTCCGAAAAAATTATTTATTTCTGGCAATTTATATTTTTTGCTTATTTTTTTAAAACATTAATTCCTTTTAAAACAACCGAAATCGAAAGGGAATTTTATTTTTAGTGGTTTATAAACTTCATTTTTTTAACTGAAATTCACATCATTTTGACTTAAACATTTATTATTAATTCAACATCTTGTTTTTCATGCTGATAAATTGAGAGAGAGTGATGGAATCCAAACCTTCTTCATTCTTAACAGCCTGGATCAAGTGTTATTTATAATACATCAAAGAAATTTAAACAAAACCAATTATATTTATAATCCAACTGATCTCGAAGTTATTTAAAAACGCATTGAATGAATTCGTCTTTGATCTCTTTGGAAATAGTTAACTTTGACATTAAATAACTGGAGAAATCTCTCTTACGCATTTTTATACGTAAATGGAATAATCTTTACAAAAAGAGTGGAATAGCTTTAAAAAATTAATGGCATGAAAACTCATTTATATAATTAAGAATGTAAATGGAAAACAATTTTATCTGTATAATATTCAATTTATATCTTAATATTTTATGAAAGTTATTCTGCATTTATTATTACTATTTCTTATTTTTGATTTCAAATAACTTCCTGACATTTTCTTAACTACTTCGCATCATCTTAACTTATATTATTTCTCAAGACCTTAAGTAATTCTTTGACTATTTAACGAGAGGCATATGTATTTTAACTACTATGCATACTTACTACCTAACGAGCGAGTAGATTTAAAAGAGCTTAGTTTATTCTACCGTACTTAGAACCTTCGGTAAATTATCCAATGAGAAATCGAAAAGAGATAGGTAGAATTAAGCTAGATATTTTTGAATATGGAAGCGATTTCATTAAATTAGATGGATAGTTTTCTTTTCATGTTTGATGTACAAGACTCCAAATGTTTCTTTTTTATTACGTTTCATAAAGAAAACGTAAATAGTTTGACAGTAATTCAAAAAGATGTTTCATATTAGATTGGAAAATATTTGTTTACATATGAAGCTGAAATATACATGCGCGTAAAGCTTTTATTTCTTAAATAAAATACTAGTAAAAAATTTTTTAAAAAAACTTAAAAACAAGCTTTTATTTAAATGCTCTAAAAATTTTTTTGCTTTTAAAATTTTTATTGCTATCAACTTATAACATCATTACACAATTTATGATATAAAAGCTTGTCGTGAAATTTAAGTACTCGTTATTTCTTAGTTTGAAACTTTTAAAAATTAGAATCAATTAGATCAAGTTATATATCATAAATTGTGTAATGACGTTATAAGTTGAAAGTAAAAAAAAAATAATTAAAAAGAAATGTTTATTTTGTTCTTTTCAGAGCATTTAAATAAAAGCTTGTTTTTAAAAGTTTTTTTACTTTTAATTTATCTTTTACTCTTTAGTTATCACTGGACAGGCTTCTTAGTCTGTTCATCTCATTCAACGCATCATTGTTGCAAGGTCATTTTCCGGTTAATTTTGAATAGGCCAGTTCAAGGGAACTCAATCTTTTTTCCCGCCAGGCCACATACATATGATAGATATTTCACTCGGACCTTAACAAGAGAATAATGGGTGGGGGGGGGGGTAAGCACTGTAAGACCAAAACAACATTGGACAAAGTAAAATTTTAATCAAAATATTAAAACTCCTTTTTGTGCTTTTGCTATAATACTATTTTAAAAATAAAAAACACAAACAAAATTTTAAAAATCGTATTTTTAAACCAATTTTTTTCCATCTTTGTGTAGAATTTGCATAACACTATTCAACAAACGAAAAAAAATGTTTTTTTTTGTGATTATCTTTAAAAGTGACGAAGTTTTTAAATGTTTTATAAAAAAATGTGAGTATTTTTTGAAAAATCGTGAAAAAAAAAGTTTTTGGCATTTTATTTTTTAAATGACTGATTCTAAAAGAGAAAAGCCTGAACTTTTTTAGTGCAGAACATGGATTTATTATCACGAAAAAAATTCATACATAATGATTTAGAAATCATTTTCATGAAAACGCATCGATTTTGACTCATTTTAGAGAAAATCGTAAAAAATAGAAAATATCATTATTTTTTAAAAAATATTATAACGTATCGTGGCGGCGAAATAAATGATCTTTCTGATTATGTAATTATTTTTTTTGTCTCAGTTTTATTGAAAGAATAAGATGGTTTTTAAAAAAGGTCGAAAAATCGGAATTTCTTTAAGCTCAATCCGATAAGCTGCTCGGCAGAATAAAAAACTAACAGGGATAATGGGTTCTAAATTAATTTTTTTAAAATTAATTATGATATCAGAATATTATTGATCAAAAATGCATTGTCATCCAAACTAAAAAGGTATACAAAATTTCAGCTCAATTGGTTGAAGACATCAGTTTCAAAATTGAGTTGCAAGATTCCACCCGAACATTTTACATTGCAAGTTAAAATAAAAACTTGTAAAATGGAATTTATGTAATCCATTTCACTGATTTGTGTTTGTTCCAAACAGTTACATGTAGCATTATATAAATATACATTATATAATGCTACATATATATCTGGTTCAAATTTTCAGTCGTTAATAAAATACTTTTTATTCATCCACTTAAGTTCAAATACTTTTTAAAAATTGTACTGGATGACACTTGATGTTAATACAGTTTTTTCAAATATAACTTCGTTAATTAGTGATTAAACAGTAGAAAAAATAAATGATAGTCCAACGTCATATATAAAAAGGAAAATTGTTTGTTGTTTCCCTGTAGCGCAATGGATAGCGAGTTAGACTTCTAATCCAAAGGTCGTGGATTCCAATACCACCTGGGATGGCCTAATGTTTGGGAATGTGATTTCTTTCTACTATACTATTTGATTGGAATAATTCAACTAAATTAATATATAAATAGTAACAAACAAAAATAATAGTCTAATACCATATATAGAAAGAAAAATGAAAAATTGCAAGGAAAATCGCTTTCCATTTTGCCACAATATTGTGATTCTGTCATATGTATATCCATATTTATATTAATTGTAATTATTTAATAAAAAAATAACTAAAACAAAATTTTTCTTTGTTGACCTAAGTAGAAATTGACTTAATTTTTTTTTCATATTACTTGTTTATGATTTAGGATTAGAATTATTTAAACACTTGTGTTCCGCATTAATATTTTTAGAAGCAAACTGAAATGAAAATAATAATATTTGTATATCAACTATTATTTTGATCATACTTTTTTTTCAAAATTTTGTTAAAATATATTTTTTTGCTTAGACTAAATGGAGATTTACTTTGTTATACGCACAAAAATATATTAAAATACAGAACTAATCGCAAACATTTCCAAAAGGAATTATTTGACTATAAATAATTACGAATTTTTTTCAAACAATAATAATAGTATCTCTGAAAAGCAAGAAATCTAAATAGTAAGAAAGAAGCGACATTAATTAGGATGAATAATCAAAGAAATTTTTTCTTATTATTCTAGCAATTTTTTCTTACTTTCTTCTCCTTTTTGTAAACAATTATTTCTAAGAAAATCGTTTTGTGAAAAAAAATTAAATAGGTTTTTTGATTTACTTTTACTTATATTGCATTATTCATGATACTCTCCCTTTATTTACTGATAAATTTTTCCCTGACGCATATAAATTATGCATTAAAATATACAACGTAAAAATTGATGAATAGAACGTTGAAGTGTGGAAATAATTTTATATTTTTCAACCATTTAAATGAAATTCCCCAAAATGAGAATTAAAATATTTCATCATATGCTTAAAAAGTAAGAGAAAAGCATGGAAATTATACTTTTGCATTTTTGAATATAATTTCTGTTTGATCTTTCAGCAAAAAATATTAATTTTTAGATAAAATATTGATATAATGAAATGTAGAAGCTAATTCATGGCAACTGATTTTGAAAAAAAAAATATCTCACCTTGTACCATAATCTCCGTGTTAAGAAATCATAAATACTTTTTTAGTATTTGTTTTTCAGGCCACTAAATTGTTGAACTTCAGTAGATGTATTAATTAACAAAAATTTGTCGTCTTTTATGAATATTGTAATAGCTCAAAAGAGCTATTAAAGAAAATTACATTTCTTAGAAAATTTACTACATAAACAGTTTTTACTTTGAACATATATCATGTTCTATTGTACAAGGTAAAAGATAAACACTTTACAATGGTGTGTGTGTGTAACTTATTTTTGTTATAGATTGTGAGGAGATACTAGTTAGGATTACTATAATGAATACGTAATTTACACAATCTCAGTAACATAAATTTCACATGGAGATTAATGTAATAAGAGACATTATCCTTCCACTGTTACAGTATTAAAAAGTATAGCATTTCGTCTAATTGTTTTTCATCGCTATATGTTCAGAGAAAAAAAAGTTTTAGGAAATAAAATGTAAAATGTTTTAATCAGTTTTTGAATAGCATTTTTCTATCTCACGATTTGTTAATCGAAATATTTGAAATGGACAGATATAATGATTATAAAAATTAAATGGTTATTATGTGGAATTAAAAGATTTCTAACATTTATATATAATAAGAAATAAGTGTATTTTGAAATACTTGTATTTCAAAATACATTTATTCCATTGCTGTCTCTCTCAAGTTGCCAAATTTCTCCAACCATTCATTGATGTTACATTTTCAGAGTCAAGCAGTTTATATCTCAGAAAAAATTTTTATAATTCGATACCATAATCATTTAAATTTTATAATGATTGAATCTGTCCATTTCAAACATTTCAATTAACAAATCGTGAGATAGATTGCAATAAAATTGGAACAACGTCTGCTCAATAAGTTTTTAGACTACAGTAGATGGTGATTCATGAAGTAACACATTTGAATCCAGTATCAATCTGAGTACCGATGGGAATCTGATAAATGGCTTTTCCATTCCTTGCAAACTATTTGACGCAGTTCGTCTTCTGAACGTTGCTCTGGTAAGTGGTGCTTAGTCGTGTCCCTCATGTGCTTGATCGGTGAGAGATCAGGAGAGAAGGGTTACCAAGACAGCATGTGAGTGCAGTCCGTTGTTCTCGTGCTGAAAAAGAATATTGGATTCTCCGAAGAAAGGGGAGGATCATCGTCTGGAGCACATTAACATATTCGGTTGAACCATCATAGTGCTCTGAACACAAACCAATTGTGATCTGTTATCGTACACAAGGGCAAATAACTATGTCACATTTCGTGCTACGGAGCGTTCTACAGCTGTGACTGGATTGGATTTGTTATCAAATCTTAGATACTTTCGTAAAAGGTGGCTGTGATTGGACAAGCTTAAATGTGGCTCATATGAGAACATAACCGTTCACCGATCCGTCATTCCCACCGCTCTTACTGAGTTCCATTACAAATGGAGTCAACTGTGCTGAGAGGCCAATGACAGTCATCGTAATGAATGACTACAGTGCAATCATTAGCAACAAAATCAAAAAATCTGTAGCTTTAGCTGATGTGGGAACTTTAAAAGATGTTGTAAAATGGTGGCAGAAATGGCTTGAGGGGTTGCCACTTCTTGTTTCTGGATGCTTCGGTCTACGCGAACTGATGTCACTCTTTTTGCACCAATGCCCACGAATTTGATATATTTTTTTATTCTAGCCATCTTTCCAATGTGGATGCGCTCAAGTGGGTGTCAGCTGAAATCTGGCGCATTGACCAACGTGCCGTTTTCAGTTCAATCACCATTCTCCACGTAAAATCGTCTGTCTGCTGAAACTGCCTCTTGGCTTGAGTTTGACATTCACTGATGTTACATTGTCCTCCAAGACAAGGAGAAAGAAAATTCTACAATAATATCCCAGAGAGAAATTAATGCACAGATGTTATTTAACATTAAGGGATAAACTTATGCTCTGCAAATATATCCTATTAAACGTGGGCTTGACAGCTGCACCTTTCCCATCATTTAAAATTATTCGGTGAGGTACACCTACTCTTTCTGGTTAATCCTTTTTTGGTGTAGCATTTTCAAGGCAGGGGTGCAGCTATTTACGTATCAGCCGTATCAAAGATACGGGGCTCCAAAATGTGTGAGGAAAAAAAATCGTAAAATGTTAAGTATCCCCCCTCCCCCGAAAAAGGCTCTCACTATGAAACTTGATACATGAATCATGCTGGATTAGCTACGCCAGTGCTTCAAAGTCACGTAGAAAGGAAAGTTAAAAGAAGATCCATTTTAGATTTCGGTAATACAAAAGTTTTTGTTAAATAAAGTTTCGTCACAATGTTATATTTCTTTAATAATAACATATAATACAACATCGTGAAATACCCAGTGAAGAGAGTGGGTAATGGCTAGTAATAACATATAATAGTGGGGAAAAAACTTACTTTTAATGATTGATTTGCTAAGAGGAATTTTGAATCTTTAACATTAAGATAATGATATAATTAGCGTATTGTTTCATTTAAAATCTTATGATTTTGCAATTAATTCTAAATTTATAAATACTACTTTTTTTGGTTTAAAATTGAGTTTTTCAAATGAACTGTTGAAAGTAGAATAATTTATAGTATAGCAACACTCGAGGAAGAAATTCAAAGATTTTAAATTTCATTAAGGGGAGTTGGAAACCTCTCTCTTTCTCTATACTGACAATGTTAAATTGGCTGTTTTCGATGTACCTTTTCTCAAAATCTGTTTTATGTACATGCTTGAAATTTTTCATACTATTAAAGTACACCTCTTTCATTATACTAAAATGAGCTTTTAGATAATTTTGAATTTTTTAATAAATTGTGAAATATTTTATCAAACATTGCGAAATTTGACCCATTTTTTACTTAAAAAATTTGTAAAAATTAAATTTTTAAGTTTTTTACAAAACGCTCATTTTAATATATATTAGACATCATTATAAATAATTCATTAAAAATTTACACACCTGTGAGCAGTAGTTTCTCAGAAAAGGTACATCGCACATTAAAATTTACATTTTGAGATAAATTGATTTTAATGTATACCTTGAGACTTCTGATCGAGTAGGAAATAAAAAAATAAAAGGCTCAATTTAAAATCAAAGATACATGTTTCGGTTTATATAAGTCGTTACAATTTTAAGCAAAAACAAAGTAATTTGTTTACAATTTTCGCCATTAAAATCGGCGTGGCCCAAATTCAATGATTATTTAAAAATACGTTTTAAGGGCTTTTAAATACCCTAGAGGTTAAAGTAAGGTATTTTTAGAAAGGTTAAAATCTATACAGTTTGAAAATGTAAAAATCTCAAATTGTCAAAAAATAAGATTTTAGCTTTCCAACACCTCTTAAAAACGTTGAGTGTTATTATTGGAATTAATAAATTATGCAAATAACTTCCTTTTATTTTTTTAGCAAAATGTATGAAATAGTAGCATATACACATACTAATTTTCTAGGGCAATCGAATTTCTCATAAAATATTTTTTGTTTTTTTATTACGTCATTTTGTATACTTTTATTCCCAGTTTTATTGATTTCACTATGTCTACTCCTTTAGTGGGAAAATTTCCATTTTGGTTTAAGTCAGTGCTTCTCAAACTTTCAATACTGGTGCTCCCCTTTTCGATCACAAATTTTATCGCGCCCCCTTATACATTAATAATGTACTGAATGCAATAATAATTCACTTTGACGCTAAAGCTAAAATAGGCGATCATAATTATAAACCATACAAATTAGTAACATAAGTATTAAATTTTGTATACTACTTTTAAGAAAAAAAGAATAAATAAATAAATTAATTAATAGGAAAATTATGTTATTTTTCCTTTCTCTAATTTTTAAATTGAACATATTGAAAAATA